TTCTTTTTAAAGATTTCTTGTTGAACGTGCAATGAAGCAAGAATGCCTATCTGGAATGCCATTCATCTGAGATGATTTTTTTTTAGTTTGCGCAGATTTATGCCAATGTATTTAAGTTCTATACACATATGTGCCTCTGCGTTCCATCATCTCCCAGGGATCTGAGCTTCTCCCTTCCATCTCCTTCCATACTTCGGTTTGTCGCTCTAAACTAGGCTACCCTCGTCATGTTCTCGACGTCGCGTTATCCAGGGCACGGCGTACCTTCTACCACGACTCCTCTCCTAAAGACACTCTTTATCTACCCATCGCTCTCTTCACCCTCTCAACTACAAGTTGATCCTTTGCCAGGTGAACAATCTTCGTCGCAACTTGGTCCACACTAGCCCTCCCTCTGCCTTGTACCGCCTGTGATAACCAGTTTTTTGGCGAGAAAGGCGTCAATTTCACTCTGTTTCGCCATAAATCCGCTGTATCCAGGAGACAAAACAACAACACCCTCTTCTGCGGCGTGAATTGTCTTTCTTCCGCTGATGCCTACGCCCGCAGACTGACGGAATCTTCCTTAACTAAGCTGCTGCCTAATTTCAACGTGAACAGCGGCTTTTTTCCTGCCGATAGTTTCCTCGCTTCCCTCATCCTTTTTCCTTTTGCCGGTCACCCTTCGCATAGACCGCCTGATCCTCCAATCTGACCTGACCTCCCTTTGCTTCCGTTCACCTGTTTTCACCTGGCCCGTGTACACGGCGTTGCCTCTCTTTGCTCTCTTTACACTCCCTCCTCTCTCTTTCCTCTTCAAACCTCACTCTTCAATAAATCTAGTTTGTATATATATATATATATATATAGATATATATATATATATATTCCTAGAAAGTGTGAAGAACCAGTCACTATTTCACGATTCCACGAAAATACAAAAACATACACATATATCAAATAACACTTCCGCATCAAGCAAGAAAAGAAACGCGAGCAAACACAGCAGGTCGAGGCTAAGACCCGTTTACACAAGAGAGTAGATTGAAGATGCTCTGAACGCTGATGCATAATGTATTTCGAGACTGCAAGAGCTCCTGGCGGATTATCTTTAGGGTAAGAAGGGAAGCTGAGAGCCTAATCATTCTCAAGTGAAGGGAAAAGAAAGGCAGCAGGAGACAGGTGTCGGGGGCGCGATGTTTCGAGTCTGCACTTCAGGCTTGCAGGATTATTGCAGTCTATTTGGGGGATGTCAGTCGACAGGATGCGGTGGCTGCGAATCCCCTATTTTTTTTTCTTCCTTTCTTTTCTTTTTTTTCTTTTCTTCTTTTCTTCTTTTCTTCTTTTCTTCTTTTCTTTTCTTTTCTTCTTCTTTTGTATACGCGAGTGATTGTGTTTCCTCAGATACGAGTATCCTTTACGATTGGCATTTCCCTACCAAGTTAGAATTTCCAGTATAAAGTTTCCTCAATATAAAGCTCGAAGTAATACCCGGTCTAAATCCATTACAACAATTGACTTCGCGGAAAATCACACACACACACACATATATATATATATTCCTAGAAAGTGTGAAGAACCAGTCACTATTTCACGATTCCACGAAAATACAAAAACATACACATATATCAAATAACACTTCCGCATCAAGCAAGAAAAGAAACGCGAGCAAACACAGGCAGGTCGAGGCTAAGACCCGTTTACACAAGAGAGTAGATTGAAGATGCTCTGAACGTTGATGCATAATGTATTTCGAGACTGCAAGAGCTCCTGGCGGATTATCTTTAGGGTAAGAAGGGAAGCTGAGAGCCTAATCATTCTCAAGTGAAGGGAAAAGAAAGGCAGCAGGAGACAGGTGTCGGGGGCGCGATGTTTCGAGTCTGCACTTCAGGCTTGCAGGATTATTGCAGTCTATTTGGGGGATGTCAGTCGACAGGGTGCGGTGGCTGCGAATCCCCAATTTTTTTTTTCTTCCTTTCTTTTCTTTTCTTTTTATTTTTTTATTTTCTTTTCTTCTTTTCTTCTTTCCTTTTCTTCTTTTTCTCTTTTGTTTTTCTTTTCTTCTTTTTCTTTTCTTTTCCTTTTTTCTTCTTTTCTTTTCTTCTTTTCTTCTTTTTCTTTTCTTGTTTTTTTCTTCTTTTCTTTTCTTCTTTTTCTTTTCTTTTCTTTTCTTTTCTTTCTTTTCTTCTTTTCTTTTTTTTTTCTGTTTCCCTTTTCTTTTGCTTTTTTTCTTTTTTCCTTTTCTTCTTTTTCTTTTCTTTTCTTCTTTTCTTTTCTTTTCTTGTATACGCGAGTGAGTGTGTTTCCTCAGATACGAGTATCCTTTACGATTGGCATTTCCCTTTTCACTAAACTTTATTAGGTGTGTGATTCTTCTACCAAGTTAGAATTTCCAGTATAAAGTTTCCTCAATATAAAGCTCGAAGTAATACCCGGTCTAAATCCATTACAACAATTGACTTCGCGGAAAATCACACACACACACACTAACATATATATATACAAACTAGATTTATTGAAGAGTGAGGTTTGAAGAGGAAAGAGAGAGGAGGGAGCATAAAGAGGATACAGGATTGTCAAGTGTTGTCATTGCAGGTCACAGTGGTATAAATTTCACGTGTTGGTAGATAAAATGCTAATCGTAAATGCTCCTTTCTTCACTTTAATCATGAGAAGAAACTGTTTCACAATAGTCTAGACATCACAAACTCTTCATTCGCGTGTGTATATTCACAACATAAATATCTTGAAAATAAGAATAAAAAGGGGAAAAACATTTGATATCCATTTTACTTTGTCTCATAATTACTGACATTAATCCTGTCCCTGATCTTGGAAAACATTATCTGATTACCAGGCTCATTTTGCAATTAATGTTAACCAAACAGTCTGTTATAATTTCTCCTGCTCTAATTTATTCCTTCAATTATTATTACCATTATTGCTTTTTGAGTGCATGAATGACCACAAAGACAGATGATAGTTATATAAAGAAACGAAACGCTGAATTAAGGTTTTGTTTTATCTTTAGTTGGAAATGTAAAAGCTGACACGCTTTATCTGTAAATTGTCAATGCTCTCGACATGGAGTGTCACAGAATCATTGTCACTATATAGAATGGCCTTCACTTCTCATTCCCGAATTTTATACTGTCGCAGATCTCGACTGTTCCGCTCTAGTGCTTTTCTCTCGACTGACTCGGCAATCTGACTGAAAGCACACGTTTACTTTCATTTCATACATATGTGTTGCTTATGGGAACCTGTTGTAGGCATTTCGCCATGAGTTTCTTTGAAATTCATCTCTGTAAATTTAGAAACTTACGTGCACGCACATGCAAACGCGTGCGTGCGCACACACACACACACACACACACACACACACACACACACACACACACACACACACACACACACACACATACACACATGTCGCGTGTCCTCATCACGCGAACATCACGAGGGCGAAACGGATGCTATATGAACGAGTGAAACAAGCTGAGGGAACGAGAAAAAATAAATAAATAAACAAAATAACAACGCGAGGATTTCACACAAAATTATGGTCTACAAGGAAAGACATATGCAAAAAACAGAAGCTCCGTATAACAGAAAGTAGCATGATCATCATGTGACAGAGGGTGACACCACGTGATGGACCAAAACAAGCAAAAAAGAAATCACGAGTGCGAAGCAACAAGCACTTCTAATCGATCGCAATATTGATCATAATGTATCAGTCTGGGAACAAGAAATTAATTTATATGGCAGGTAGAAAGAATGATAAACAGTGTAAAAAAAAAGGATTAGGTCATAGAAGAAGTTATTTTTTCCAACTAGAAATAAATAATTAAGTGATAAGCTTCAAGCGCGTGACCAGATGAACTCCATATCGAAAATAAAAGGATGCTCAGTGACAGAAATTGTGGACTAGGTTTCGGAGTAGCTTCCAATAGCCATCTCGGTAAGCCCGCTAGAAGTAATTTAGTGTACCATCGTGATAGAACATACGTGACACTAACTAAAAATGGAAGACAGTAATATGGCTATTATGGAACATAGTGGATATTAGGAAGTAAATAAATTTGTTATAATCATATAATGAAACAAGTTGATTTTCAATCTGACTAATCTTGTGGTAATATTGTGTTAATATTTAAAACAAATATATGTTTTTGGCATCAATGTCATATGACAATGTTGTGTTAGAATATATATATGCACAAACACACACATACACACACACACACATACATATATATATATATATATATATATATATATATATATATATATATATATATATATGTGTGTGTGTGTGTGTGTGTGTGTGTGTGTGTGTGTGTGTGTGTGTGTGTGTGTGTGTGTGTGTGTGTGTATGTATGTATGTATATATATGCGTGTGTGTGTGTGTGTGTGTGTGTGTTTGTGTGTTTGTGTGTATATGTGTGTGTTTGTGTGATTGCGTACCAGCAGACAGTCATACAATTCCTATGCATGTAAACAGTGGTCTGCAGTGGAAACTGGCCCTTACAGAAAAGTGATTGGTATTCTTCAGAAATGTATCTCGCAGATTGGGCTGTTGCAGAGATCGATGTTGCAGTTCCGCAAAGGCTTATCAACCGGAGGAGGAGGAGGAAACACACTGGACGATATTTCAAAAATTAATATGACAAATAGCTCGCACTTCTTTACAAATGCCTACACGTGAGGCATATATGCACACACGCACACACACAGACACGCATACACACGTGTGTGTGTGTGTGTGTGTGTGTGTGTGTGTGTGTGTGTGTGTGTGTGTGTGTGTGTGTGTGTGTGTGTGTGTGTGTGTGTGTGTGTGTGTGTGTGTGCTTGTGCGTATGTTTTAGTATCAAACTTTACTAAATATAATTTCATGTACGTTATCTTGAACAAATCTTACTTTTGTTGCTAACAAAGATGCATATAAAAAATTGTATGAACATCATTGTGCAGCGAAAAGAAAGTCAGGGCTATAGGCACTTTTGTATTTTTGCACATTATGTTACTTTCTGCATAAGGAACATTTTGTCAATATAACTAAAGTAAACAATAAACAATTTATGTGAGCATGAAATCTGTGGCTGAAAGTATTAGCTCGAAGCAGTTTGCAAGCATAGCGATCTAAGTCTTTTTTTTTATCCTGGATTTTTTTTTTCTTACTTCCTTTTTTTTCTTTCTTTCTTTTTTAATCAAGCTTTTCTCTTCTCTGTTTGTTTTCTATCTAGCATTTTATTTTATTTTTTCTAATCATGTTTTTTTTTTGTTTTTTTTGTTATTAATCCATTTTTTCTTTTTCTTTTTCTTTAAGAAACGATTTTCCCTTCTTCTAATTTGTGGTACTAGCTTTTCTCATCTAGACATTAAGCATCTTTTACCTGAAAATCCATGAGATGTTGAATTACAGGACGCCATGGACATTAAATATCAAAGAAGAAATACGTAGACCATCAAAGGTACGGAGCTAGTTGCACGATCAAAGCTGCAACGTAATTTCTAATAAGAGAGTAAGAGACAGGAGTTTCAGCATGTTTGTTTTTAATCTATCTCTGTGTCTGTGTTTATTATATTTGTCATTTTATCCCTCTGTGATGCTGGTATTTTTAAAACTATTTGTTATGACATCTGCCATGTTCATTTATATTCATAGTAGGCAATGCACCATGCATGGCGTTGTGCTTATGCTTATTTGCAACAATAACCATTCCGTTTATGGTGTAAATCATTAAAATATGAATTTATTTATCGTAAAAAAATTAGTTGTAACTATAGAGACAACTTTTTCAAAATACTAAGAATGAATACCAGTACAGTACATTCATTGCCTTCAGCTACCTCGAGAATCCTTGTTGCAACGCCGGTTTAAAAAAAAAAGAAAATGTCTCTCACTCAGTGGAAGGAAAACCTGGAGCTTATCCCCGCAATATCAGATTCTTTCCCAACCGTATGTCGCAACAACTCGTGATGAAAGCACACCTTGTTATTGCCGAGCTCGGAGCAAACAGATCGCAGAAGTCGACGTCAGCTATATACTTGGAGAGAAAACGGAGGCTTGCGATATACTTGGAGAGAAAACGGAGGCTTGTGATATACTTGGAGAGAAAACGGAGGCTTGTGATATACTTGGAGAGAAAACGGAGGCTGGCGATATACTTGGAGAGAAAACGGAGGCTTGTGATATACTTGGAGAGGAAACGGAGGCTTGTGATATACTTGGAGAGGAAACGGAGGCTTGTGATATACTTGGAAAGAAAACGGAGGCTTGTGATATACTTGGAAAGAAAACGGAGGCTTGTGATATACTTGGAGAGAAAACGGAGGCTTGTGATATACTTGGAGAGAAAACGGAGGCTTGTGATATACTTGGAGAGAAAACGGAGGCTTGTGATATACTTGGAAAGAAAACGGAGGCTTGTGATATACTTGGAGAGGAAACGGAGGCTTGTAATATACTTGGAAAGAAAACGGAGGCTTCTGATATACTTGGAGAGAAAACGGAGGCTTGTGATATACTTGGAGAGAAAACGGAGGCTTGTGATATACTTGGAGAGAAAACGGGGGCTTGTGATATACTGGAGAGAAAACGGAGGCTTGTGATATACTTGGAGAGGAAAACGGAGGCTTGTGATATAACTTGGAGAGAAAACGGAGGCTTGTGATATAACTTGGAGAGAAAAACGGAGCTTGTGATATACTTGGAGAGAAAGCGGAGGCTTGCGATATACTTGGAGAGAAAACGGAAGCTTGTGATATACTTGGAGAGAAAACAGAGGCTTGTGATATACTTGGAGAGAAAACGGAGGCTTGAGATATACTTGGAGAGAAAACGGAGGCTTGTGATATACTTGGAGAGAAAACGGAGGCTTGTGATATACTTGGAGAGAAAACGGAGGCTTGTGATATACTTGGAGAGAAAACGGGGGCTTGTGATATACTTGGAGAGAAAATGGAGGCTTGTAATATACTTGGAGAGAAAACGGAGGCTTGAGATATACTTGGAGAGAAAACGGAGGCTTGCGATATACTTGGAGAGAAAGCGGAGGCTTGCGATATACTTGGAGAGAAAGCGGAGGCTTGTGATATACTTGGAGAGAAAACAGAGGCTTGTAATATATTTGGAGAGAAAACGGAGGCTTGCGATATACTTGGAGAGAAAACGGGGGCTTGTGATATACTTGGAGAGAAACGGAGGCTTGAGATATACTTGGAGAGAAACGTAGGCTTGCGATATACTTGGAGAGAAAACGGGGGCTTGTGATATACTTGGAGAGAAAACGGAGGCTTGTAATATACTTGGAGAGAAAACAGAGGCTTGCGATATACTTGGAGAGAAAACGGGGGCTTGTGATATACTTGGAGAGAAAGCGGAGGCTTGTGATATACTTGCAGAGAAAACGGAGGCTTGTGATATACTTGGAGAATATACTTGGAGAGAAAACAGAGGCTTGCGATATACTTGGAGAGAAAACGGGGGCTTGTGATATACTTGGAGAGAAAACG